TGGAGAATCATATATCTTCAATAAAAAAATAGAAAATAATCAGCCTTGGTTGAAAAGATAAGAATAAAGGGATTAAGAATCATATATCCCAAGAAGCAATAATCTGATACAAATACACCATGTATATGCAAGAATAATCAACTAAATAAGACACACATATCTAAAATGTCTTTATAAAAAGCAGCAGATTCTCAATCATTCAAAAGAATTGCAAATTTTTCATATACAAATATAAGAATTGATCTCAGGTCCCACATCCATCCAATTTCTCAGTACTAATGTGGTTTTACAAATAAATCCAAATAAAACTGCTACATGAAGCATAAATTTTCACTTCTAGAATGTCCTACAAAAAGAAATGAGAAAACTAGTTGACTAAAAACAATATATTTCATTTGGAAATCCTTCACAAAAATTCAACAATATAGAATCTAGCATCATCTAGCTAAGGGCCCAGAATGTAATAAACTGTTCTAAACGTAACTAAAAAATGTGCTTATAAAATTTTAATTCAATCAATGTAACATATTTAGCTTTAAACTAAGCAAGTTCATTCAAGCAATTCATGCAAATAAAAATAATTACATAAATTACCTGTTGAATGTCTGAGGAGAAAAAGCATAGGTGATTGCTCATAAGCTCCATCTTTCATCTTTGAGTTCATGAGACTTAAGTGAAAAAGGTTATAAAGCTCGGTCCATTCGAAATTGTCAAATAGAAGCTTAAACAAAGCATAGGTGATTGCTCATAGCTGCCTGTTCCAGTTTCAAAAACAGTGTCGGTCTATAAGCTGCGACAAGGTGTTTTTGGATTAAACAATAACTGCCATGTTAACATGACTGATCCTCCGTGATAAGCTCAAGTTTCACTCGAGCTCAGTTGATATGCCTATTATTTTACTAATCTTTCCTATTTTGCATATTCAACATGCAAATATACTCCTTTTCCCTGTTTTACATATTTTACATGCAAAGGTTAAGACATTTCTCTCCTTCTAAAAATAGAATAAAAATACATACTCGCTAAAAAGGTACTCTTTTCCCTTTTAAGACGATGAATAAATATTCTCAAAAGAAATAAAAGCGCTAACGCAATTCTGAACAAAAGCATTACAAAGAGTTCAGTTGTGCAATTAAAAGCTTCCAGTATATGCATACCAAGAAAAGATAGGCGAATTGCACGGTCAAAGGCATTTTCACCGAGTCACCGACATAACTATTGGCTAACGAACCAACAAGGTGTCTCATGGCCTGAAACATAGTTAGTGCCCCTGATCCTTGATATGAGTCTGAACCTACCTGTCCAACACAAGTAAGAATTCTATGGTGCTCATAAAACTACATCTTGAATGCAACGCTGTATACCACCTTCATCACCACTTAATAACTGATGCATGTGATCCAATACAACATTAACATTTCTCCACTTTCTTTGTGGAGCTAGAAATAGAGAGGCACACGGATCAATACAAGTGAAAGGGAAAACTAACCAAGTTGATCAATGGTGAAAAATTCATTTTCAGTTCCATCACCCTAACCTAGAAGTGCCAAGTAATTCACCATTGCCTGAGGCAGATACCCCATATCTCTGAACTGGAACAACATAATTGTTAAATGTGGAAACTTTTAATCCTCAATTGAAAAAGATATTGTAGACCCCATGGAAACCAAGGAGATGATACAATTATTTTACAATATTTTCCATGAAACAAAGTATAATGAAGATAACTACCTGACCAACTGAAGTTGCACCATGACGTTTTGACAATTTGCTCCTATAAGGTGCAAAATCAAAGAAACATGGGCAAAGGAAGGCATGGGGAATCCCAAAGCCTGTAGCAATTTTTTTTTACAGTTTAAAGATTAGATTCCTTATATTGGTGAAATGAAACCAGAAACTTCAAAAGCCACTAAATATTAACAAAAGTAAATAAATAACTGAAGCCCATTAACATTACCTTGTATATTAAGGCTTGACTTAGAGTATTAGGTAAATGCTCTTCTGCTCTGAAATGCCAGTATAGAGAGTGTGAGAACAAAGGACTAAAAATGTTGTAACAGAACATATATTAGATGTATCAAAAAGATAATCAATTATTTTCTCAATTACCGTTTAACATGTGAAATAAACATGGTAGCATCATCAACAGTAACAAAAAAGTTGTAAAGAGCTTGACCATTGCTCCTCATTATAACAAAATCCCCAAGTGTGTCCAATTTCCAGCTAACCTTCATGATACTATCAAACAAATTAGTGCTTGTAAAAGTAAATTACAGATATATCTACATTCTGTTGTTGATGGACCACTGAAACTTAAAGATAATAATGTTTTACGTCAAAAATCCTCAAATCAACAGACAAAAAACCTTATTAGTCAAATGTTAAAATCCGAGCATGTTTCGAAACACATAATCATAGTTCATTTGAATTAAAGGTTATGTTCTGTGAGACACAAAATTCACACTTTTGTCTCCAAAAGAATAGTGTTATTCTAATTCCTAGAGGCATTCCAATGAAATGAAGGACAAAAATTGTCATTCAAGGTACAAATATCTCACATTTGCAATGTCTTCAAATCAATTACCTCATTGGAACAAAAGCAACGATAAACCTGACCAGATTCTAAGAGCTTCTCAGAATATTGTTTATACATAGATTTTCTCTAAGATTTTCTATAAGGACCATAATCCCCACCAATGCCAGGGCCTACGTGGCAAGTGATAGAATCAATATCAACTTAATGCTAAAAGTGACAAACACAATCGAACCATACATGTAAAATTGAAGATTTGAAGCAATAAATTTCAAACCAATTTAATTAAAGCGGAAAGACAATGGCAATGACATATAAATATTACCTTCATCCCAGTCAAGTCCAAGCCAAGCTAAATCTCGAAGAACAACCTCCTCCGATTCTCGCGACGACCTCTCCAAATCAGTATCCTCGATTCTCAGCATCAATTTTCCTCCCTTATATCTTAAGAGAAAAAATAAAGAGAAGAAAAGAGAAAATCATAAAAATTCTACGAAGTTAGAAACAAGATAACAACGCACAAGATGTAAAAAAAGAGAGGAAAAAAACCTAGCGAATAAGTAGTTGAAGAGAGCAGTTCGAGCGCCGCCGACGTGGATATTGTCGGTCGAAGAAGGAGCAAAACGGACTCTGACTGGTGCATTGCTGTCAATTGAAGCACGAACGGAGAAATTTCTACGAAAATGGCACCGGAAAATAAGCAGAGGAGCGAATTCAGGGATTACTCTAATTCTCATCCATGGCGTCCCCGCAACGAGTGCCGCCATTTTTGAAACGACAAAATGGAGTTGAAGATACTTGGATAGGAGAGGATAGCGAATAAGATACTGGATAGGAGAGGATAACGAATAAGATACTGGGACACAGGAGAACGAAGTTGTTTTCCATTTTGTCCCAGTATCCTTGAATGAAAATTTTGTTTTTGAAACACAAAATGGATTAGAAGCGGGAAAGCATGTGTACGTGATGAAAATTATAGGGAAATTAAAAGACGATTTTTAGAGATGACATATGAAAAGTGTGCTCCGTGTTTTGTTAAATTTTTTGGATTATGACTATTAAATATGACATATATTATTGTAAGTCATAAATCGTTCAAATTTTAAGAAACATGACATTTTTTTATGACACACATTTTTTGCAAGTCATAAATTAGCGTGTGTCATAGTTCTTGTGTCATTAAAGGTATATTTTCTTGTAGTATGCATTTGTCAATGACTATAAATGAATTTAAACAAATATTATTTTATAACCACCTCAGATTATTAGGAGAAAAAAAAACTACAAACCCTAAACATATATCCTAAAATAAAATTAAAATGAAAAACACTTCAATAACCTAAAGTGATCGCCTTCATTCGAGGGTAATCATTTGAGTGGAGAAAATATGACAATTGGACTGAGTCGATAATTATTCATTTTATCTTTAACTCACTACCAAGTATTCTCTTTTGATTATGTAAATAAATATTTATCTTTTTAAGATAAATGTTAAGTTTTGAACCATGAAAGAACATTGATATTTTTTATTATCGAATCAATTAATAAAGTTATAAATCAATAAGACTTTTAATGAATTTTTTTTATAAAACTGCACATTTTCGTACAATTTAATTACATGTTACCGTCGAGAATAGATTAAATAGTTCTGATTGTTGGTGGCAAGTTTAATTGTTTATTGCCATCTTTGAAATAGAGCATTGTAATTTTGACATATTTTCAAGTATATTTGGAATGAAAACTTACCAACTATTGTATCGGAATGGCCCAAATGTATTGAAATAAATATGTTGACCAGGTTCATCCGGTCTTCTAGAATGTCATGTTAGATGTTGAATAGGTCGGTTTTGTTTCCTTTATCTAAGGGTAAAATACACAAATGATCCTTTATTTATAGGATATTACTTTGTTGAGTTACTTGATTATTAAAAAATACAAATGATTCTTTGATTATAGGTCGTTATTTTGTTGAGTCTCTCAATTATTAAAAGTTATAAAATAATCACTCGACTATTCATATATTCCATACTTATATTTTTTTAATGAAAAAATCAGAATATTTTTTAAGATATTAATTAAAATATGATAAAATATAATTTCAAAGTCGTTTAACTATATTTTATGAATCAATTTTTTATTTTTATTATATTGTCGAGCAATACTTTACCCTTATTTCTAAGATAATAATATTGTGCTTCACCAAACCCAGCTCGGTTCAGACTTTCTGGGTCATGATGATGTTTCAAATTTCAATAATAACGACTCCTTAACATCTTAGTTGCTTTCATACCAAGATTTTCTAAGGATTAATGATATTTTTAATATTTTATTTTTTTATAAAATTAAACTAATTGATAAAAAAATAATAGTATATATTAAATTAATGTTAGTGGCAGGCACTACATCACATCAAGAAGGCTCCATAAATAGAGGGATCATTTTTGTTGAAGTCCCATTACAAAGAAATCACATAATCCAAACCCTCTTCTTTCGTATCAACGTAGTTGTCGCTCACGTGGCAGAAGAAGCTTATCAATGGCAGAGAAGAGCAAGGTTCTGATCATCGGAGGAACCGGATACATCGGAAAGTTCATCGTCGAAGCCAGTGCAAAAGAGGGTCACCCCACTTTTGCCCTAGTAAGAGAGAGCACCATCTCCGACCCTGTTAAGGGTAAAATCATCGACAACTTCAAGAACTTAGGGGTCCAAATCTTGATCGTAAGTAGTCTTCGATCGAGTTCACATAAATTGATCATGGTTGCGAAAAAAATTCTTTAATTTGATTTTGTGGGCATTTAATGCAGGGGGATCTTTACAATCATGACAGTTTGGTTAAGGCAATCAAGCAAGTCGATGTGGTGATTTCAACCGTGGGTCAAATGCAGATTGCAGATCAAGTTAAGATCATTGCTGCCATTAAAGAAGCTGGGAATGTCAAGGTTGGTGCTTCTCCGTTTCCATTTTTATTCAATTTGTTCTGTTTTTTATTTGCTGGTCTTTGGTACTTTGAAAATTTTCAAGTTATTTTATGTTTCTAAGTAAATGTGTTTACTAGAATTCGGGTATGAATCGTCTATGACAGCACAAATTAAACAGTTTTAAATTTACATTTTTGTACACATATATGAGAGTTGAACACATTTTGGTAATTGCCTAATTGGTGACCAAGAAATTTGCAGCAAGTTAGCTGGTAACTAGCATTGTCTCATCTTCATTTGATCAGAGATTTTTGCCATCGGAATTTGGAACGGACGTTGACCTTAATAACGCCATTGAGCCTGCGAAATCAGCATTCGGAATCAAGGCTCAAATCCGACGTGCTATCGAGGCTGAAGGGATCCCTTACACTTATGTGCCTGCTAACTGCTTTGCAGGCTATTTTCTTCCTACTTTGTCACAGCCAGGAGCCACCTCTCCTCCAAGAGACAAGGTCGTTATCCAAGGCGATGGAAATGCTAAAGGTAAACAAAGTATTGATAATCTGAAAGTTAACCAAGACAGGTTAAACAAAGCAACTGTAATCACCATTTGCATCCATTTCGTTTTGCAGCTGTTTTCAACGACGAATCCGATATCGGAACCTACACTATCAAAACCGTTGACGATTCAAGAGCGGTGAACAAGACCCTCTTCATCAGGCCTCCCAAGAACACCTACTCGTTCAATGAACTCGTCGCCCTGTGGGAGAAATTGATTGGCACGACCCTTGAGAAAACATACGTTCCAGAGGAACAACTTCTCAAACAGATCCGAGGTTGATAAAATCTCCTGGCTCTTATTTGGAATTTTTTCAAGCAATTCATGCAAATCTTATGCTTTGTAATTTATTCATGCATTGCAGAGTCTCCGATTCCAATCAATATTTTCTTGGCCATCAGTCACTCGATCTTTATCAATGGTGATGGAGCCAACTTTGAGATCGAACCATCAATAGGATTCGAAGCTTCTGAGCTATACCCTGAAGTGAAATACACCACTGTGGAAGAAATCCTCAGTCGTTTTGTTTGACAAAACCTGGAATTCTAACCCAATATTTGTTATTGGACTAATAATTCAGAAACTGCGGATTTCTCTGTTGGTGTGTTCATAAGTTTATCATTACTATTATTCACCATAATGCTAATGCGAACCATGTTGTTGTTGTGTTGTACTCGTATTTCGTATCAATGAATATCACAGGTAGCTTTTCTTTTAAAAACTTCCACAAAAGCCAATACCAAGTCTCATATTTTTTACACCTATGAAATATCTATAAACATGAGCATACATATATATCTAGGGATGGATCAAAGTTGAATAGATGGAAGTAGTCGTATTTCTTAAAAATTTAATGTTTATATATTTTAAATAATTTATTTTTATTTTTTTATCAATAATTTATTTTTATCTTAAAATTTTATAGATTTATCTCTTCTAAAATTTTATAAGTTTATCTCTTAATTGGAATATTCTGTCTTATGCCGGCCCGAGTTCGTTAGATCGGTTTTGTTTGCTTTATTTTTTTTAGATATAGCGATAAAATATTGTGTTTTACCTAACCCATCTCGGTTCATTCAGACTTGTGACCTTCGGGTCATGATGATGTTTCAATAATAATGACTGCTTAACTTCTTATTTCCTCTCGTATCAACATTCTTTAAGGTATAATGATTTTTTTAATGATTCGAAGTTTTATTTTTTATTAAAAATAAATGAAATTAATATAAAAGTTACATATCTATTAAATTAACGACTTTAATTAAAAGAAATAAAAAAGATGAAATTTTAAAATATAAAAAATTATATTTATAAAATTGTTTTAAATTAAGATCAATTTGATAGGTTGTATAAATTTTGAGGATTAAAATCATTATTATATTAAATCATATAACTATTTAAACTAATATATGATGACAATTTATATAATAAATTGATCCCTTATTGAAATAAACAATATTCAATTAAAATTTTAAGTAAAATATTATCTCAACTTAATCGTTATTTAAAATTTTATAATCAAATATATCCATATATTTTTAAATAAGAAATTATTTGAAAAAAAGTTTCACTTAGAAACTTTAATTGAAACAAAATCTCATTCAGGAAAATACTTAATTGTGAGAAATAAGTTTTATATATTTATAATCAATTCTTTTAGAAAACTATTATCAAATATGAATTCATTTTTAATAATCAAGTTTTTTTTAATAATTGCTCCAACAATATTAAGTTGTGTAGGTTTTTATTATGCAGTAGTTTAAAAATTATGTGTTTGATATCTAAATTATCAAGATTTGGTTCGTTTTAGTATTAAAATTTGTATTTTTTTCCAATATCATACCTAAAGTTTAATTTTTGTTTATTTCAATACTACTTTCAAATTTGAATGTTAAATTTTGAATTATTTTTTTTTAAGTTTAGGTACTAAAACGGATCAAAACTGACGGTTAAGTGCTGAACACATTTAAGTTTTTAAAGGCAAAGTATTAAAATGAAACAAAAAATAAATGTTAGGTATGATTTTTGTCGGAACCGTCTTTCGGTTGGGCCCAAAATTGGGCTTTGACTTAGGTTAAACGGATTGGAGTCGCCACCGATCATTTATCTAAAACAAATGGGTTGATCGGATACCTTATTTCTTACCTGATCTGCGTCTTACCAAAGATGTGTCGGATTCGGGAGTCGGTTACAGTAAAGGAAGGGTTAGCACCCTTGAACTGCCCTTTCGGTATTACGTAATTTCCAGTTGTTTTAATTAAGAAAATTACAAGTTAAATTAAAAGGTCAAAATAGTGATCCAAATTGCTTACCCTTAATGAATTTACGAAAATACCCTTAAATGATAAAATGTTAGATACAAAGGTTGAACCAGAAAACAGAAAAGGGTTAAATTACAATGTTTTAAAGAATGTATATGATGAGAAATTAATTGAAATAAAGATAAAATGCACATATTAAAATTCATGAAAAAAATAATAATAATGAGGAATAAAAATAAAATAATGTAAGGGAAACAAGTTTACTAACGAAAATAAAAAAATAACCATACTAAATACAAGATTAAACAAGAAAAACAAATAATGAAACAAATAAGAACCAGAAAATGGATAAAGAATAAAATAAAATAAAACGAAAAAAGAGAAAACAAAGTAAAATAAATAAAATCAAAAACCAAAAAACAAAACATAACGAAAAAATAAAATAAATAAAACAAAACAAAATTAAGGGAAAGGAAGAAAGAAAAGAAAATATATACATAATGTAGTGTTTAATAAATAAGATAAGTTAGAATAAAATATCTATGTGTATATATATAAAACGTGATAAAAAAACAAAGAAAGAAAATAAGAAATAAAACAAAAAAAGGTGGGTCCTACTGTCATCAATTCACCGGGAAAAATATGGTGAGAGAGATGATGCATGAAACAAGGGGGCCTAGGAAGGAAAAGCTTATAAAACAACAAATTTGTTTGGTTATATATATATAATATAGTATTAATACTAATACTAATAAAAATAAAATGAGTAAATAAATAGAAAAAAATAAAAAAGAGTAGGTATAAGGATAATGATAATAAAAGAAAAAATGAATAAAAATAGAAAAATATATATATGTACACGTTCATAATAAATAATAATAATAAAAATGGAAATATATATAATAACGTATAAACAAAGTAATAAAATAAAAAATAAAATAAAATAAATAAAAATATGAGGATTAAATTGAAATAAAATAAAGTTGGGTGGTCAAATCAAAAGAAAATCAAAGTTAAAGATCAATTTAAGACGAATATGGGGTTAAGATAAGGCTTTAAAAAATAAGGGGGGCTGAATTGGGGATTAACCCCTTTTAATTCCAAAACACGCAAATCCTTCCGGGTTAGGGTCGACACGCACGTCACCGGTCTGCTCCATGGGCTTTAGTATAAAAGCCAACTTTTTTTTAAATGCTCGTTTCTCACGTTTCAAACCAAAATCCCCTTCCCTATTTTAATTTCCTCTAATGTGTTCTTGAGATTCAAGAACAATGGTCGTGGGTCTCAACAAACCCAGAAACCGTCCACCGTGCGCCGCCTCGCCGCCGCCGTTGATCGGCGGTAAAAGCTGATTTTTTTTGTTCTTCAAAAGCCCTTCGCCTCCCAAACTCAAATATCAAATTAGTTTTCAAAATATGCCTCGGGGGGTGTAGATCTAACAAAATAATTTCGAAAATAACCCCCTCCGGTCATCGACCCTTTGAGTTTCAAATCGGGAAAACAAGCATGCAAGAACGATGAAGCGAGTAAGGTAAAAATTTTCAGCTTTTTTATTCCTTTCGAAAACGTTACAAATGCCTCAATGATTCGGCCGATTCTTGCTTGTATTTTGTGCCTAGTACTCTTGTGAAAATCGTATGTCTTCTGTGTATTCGATTATATGCCATTTATAGGGTTTACAAATCCATATTTTTAGTCTATTTTCAGAGTCCTAATCGAACTAAACTAATGGCTTGTTTGCTATTTTTTCGGTGTCTCAAACATCCACGTTGTTGCGGTTGTTGCGTGAGGGATGAAGTACCTTGCTGTGAAACTCGGTGCTGACAACGTGAAAGGAGGGCTGAAGCGGCGTGATACCCATGGAGTCTTGGTGATGTGGTGCTGGTGAGAAGCTGTTAGGGTTTGAGAAATGACGGGAAGTAACTAGGGTCAAACCCTAGTTTCATATTCGATCTGGGCCCTTGTATCATCCCTGGATCGGACGGTTGGAGTGAAACGGTGCAAGTGGAAAAGAGGCTAGGGTTCCAGAACCCTAGTTTACTGGTTCGGGTCGTGAACCCAGTTTTGCTCTGGTAGACCGTGTGTTTTGGGAACATAGGGTGTAACGGGCTGCTGCTGGGCCACGCATGATATGGTTTTAGGCCTGTCAAATTGTAACAAATATATAAATATGTGAACTATATCATATAATATAAATTATAATATAAATAAATGACGAAATTTGGTGTCTTCAATTGCCCCTCTTTGCTCATTATCATGTAACAAAAATAGAGCAAAGATAAAAAGACACAAATGTCGTCCATATCGAATGTCCTCTGTTGTAGAGTTGAAATCCGATGTAATGACCGACCTGTTAATTCAAATTGAATCCCAAAATGACTCCCTCGTTGTGAGGTTGAGTCGGATTGGAAATTATGAGCACGAAATCATTCGTCGTGAAGTTGAAATCGAACTCAGAGTATTAGAAAGTAGCTCTTGGATCGTCTTCTAGCCCAAGATACTTCGTCGTGAAGCTGAAACTTGACCTGAAGACTTCAGTGTTGTTGTGTTACAGAAGACTCATTCGTCGTGAAGTTGGGCCGATCTGTTGGGGTACGATACCCTTCGTTGTGAAGTTAGAATCGTATGCTCTTTGCTACAAATGATGCCATCTTTGCTTTGTTCTCTTGGTTGAGTCTTCATCTTCAGTTCTTCAAGTCGCAAGTTTTTTCATCTTGATCTTTCTTCCAGAAATGTTGATCAGTCAAGACAGGTGTTACTAATTCAACCCCCTATGTGATGAATCGAGCAAGAAGTTGATACCGATCCAACTCCTTCGGTGATGGAATCAAGCAAAAGTTAAACAATCTTTTTCATTATGAATTCTCTACTGGGAGTGTTGATCGGTTTATCTTTTCTCTAAAGATTTTCAAACATGTAAAAGATTATCACGTGTTAGTAATAATTGTGTTTGAAGTAGCCGAAGGTATTGACCCGAAGGTTCTCGGATCTTTGTTGAGATCACTTCTTTAAAAAATAAAGACGTGAATTGATTTTTCGTTGAAATCTTCTACTTCAACATGGAATTGTGTAATGAAACCTCTGCTAACTTTGGAATTCCTGTCAAATATTCAACATCTGGATGAAAATGAATAAGAAATCTGTTTTAAGAAAAACTCTCTCGGGTGAGATAAAATTTCTTGTTTCAAGGGAAAATTGTCTCAAGCGAGATGAAATTTGTTTCAAGGGAAACAATCTCAAATGTTGGTGTTTCAAGAGAAACTGTCTCAAGAGAGACAAAACACGTTTCAAGGGAAACAATCTCAAATGTGGGTGTTTCAAGGGAAATTGTCTCAAAAACTCGTTTCAAGGGAAACTGATTCAAATATTTTATTTTTCAAGGGAAACGTTTTCAAAGTTTATGTTTCAAGAGAAAATCTGTTTTAAGAAAAACTCTCTCGGGTGAGATAAAATTTCTTGT